TGGTGGGGGTGGTGGAGGTGGTGCTGGTAGTGGTGGCGGCGGTGGAGCGGGTGGCGGGCGCGGTGGAGCGGTGCAGCGTGGGGGGTTTGGCGGTGGCCAGAGGCAGCAGCACCAGCGCCCCAGCGAGGCTCCCTCGCCCTAGCAGCTCCGTGAGTGGTACTCTCAGCGTGGGGGGTCTGGGGGAGGGGGTACCTGCCCGTATGTCATCCGCACAGGTGACCGCACTGGCCAGACTTGTGGGAGGTTTCACACTGCGCAGCGCTGTTTCTTTCGCCTCGACGACGCCTGGCGCGAGCAGTTTCCTGACGCCTCTGAGCTGCCCCGCTGGGCTGATCTGCTTAATTGATTATGATGCTATTCTTTGCTGCTATGTATGCATTGACTATTAGTGCTGAGGGTGACTGTTACCTGAGTGTTCCGCCTGACCCGGGCATTGGGACCAGTGAGGCTGCAGCTCTAGGTGCTAGCGCGTCTGCTGCTCTAGGTCCTAGTGAAGCTGCTGCCCTAGGTGCTAGTGCGTCTACGCCTGCTGGTGCCGCACCTACTGAGGCACTGCACACCTTCACACTGGACTTAGGTGCTTCCCGCTGTTTCTTTTGTGACCGCACTGCCCTAGAGCAGCTTCCTCGACCGGTTGCTGTCTCTCTGGCTGACCCCTCAGGGGGTCCGGACCTTGCGACCTCCACCACTGCCCTCCCTTGTCCTGCTGTCTCGTCTGGCACACTGTCGGGCCTCTACCTCCCCTCGTTCTCTACGAACTTGGTGGCGGGTTCCGCACTCCAGGACGCGGGTGTTCACCAGTTCACCTCGGCCTAAAAGCGTGTGACGTACTGCACGTGTGCGCGGACGGGACGTCACCTCGCTACCTTCACTCGGCAGCCGGGGTCGGACTTGTACACACTGACCACTGAGTCTCCTCAGGTAGCTGCGTCTGCGTCTGCGTCAGGTCAGCTGTCGGCCCCCTGCTCGTGTCGCTCCTTGTCACACAGGACTGTCCTCTGGCACCACCGCCTTGGTCACCCGTCAGTGCAGCGCCTTCGCGGCATGCACTCCAGGTACCTTGTCTCTGGTCTTCCCAGGGTTCTCCCTCCCCTCCCACCCTCGCCTGCTCCTCCCTGTCTTCCCTGTGTCGTGGGGCGGCAGCACGCTGCTCCTCACTCCTCCTCGTTCCCTCCCACGGAGGCTCCCCTGCAGACTCTCCACCTGGACGTGTGGGGCCCCGCCCGCGTCCGGGGACAGGGCCACGAGCGGTACTTTCTGCTGGTCGTCGACGACTACACGCGCTACACCACGGTCTTCCCCTTGCGTACCAAGGGTGAGGTCCCTGATGTCTTGATCCCCTGGATCCGCGCTACTCGTCTCCAACTCTGCCAGCGGTTCCAGTCAGACTTTCCAGTCCTGCGTCTGCACTCTGACAGAGGTGGCGAGTTTTCCTCTGACCTCTTGGCAGCCTACTGTGTGGAGCACGGCATCACCCAGTTGTTCACGCTCCCGGCCTCTCCACAGCAGAATGGGATTGCTGAGCGCCGCATTGGTCTTGTCATGGAAGTCGCTCGTACCTCCATGATCCATGCGGTTGCCCCCCATTTCCTGTGGCCGTTTGCAGTGCAGTACGCCGCGCATCAGCTCAACCTCTGGCCCCGTGTCTCTGTTCCGGAGACCTCGCCTACCCTGCGTTGGACGGGGGAGGTTGGCGATGCGTCGGTGTTCCGAGTCTGGGGATGTCGAGCCTTTGTCCGCGATACGTCCGCGGACAAGCTCTCCTCCCGTGCCGTTCCCTGTGTCTTCCTTGGCTTTGTCCCTGACGCGCCTGGCTGGCAGCTTTACCACCCCACCTCGCGCCGGGTCTTCGCCTCTCAGGACGTCACCTTTGACGAGTCGGTACCCTTTTACCGTCTCTTCCCCTACCGCACTGCCCCGCTCCCCCCTCCGCCGCACTTCCTCACGCCAGGTGCTGCTTCGGTAGACCCCCTCCCTCCCCAGGGTCCTCCTCCCTCAGGTGTTTCCCAGGTAGACCCGGTCGAGCCTGTCGAGGTAGCTGTTGACTCTGGTCCTGTGCGAGGTGCTGGGTCTGGGGGCGCTGAGCCTGGGGGTGCTGGTTCTGGGGGCGCTGAGCCTGGGGGTGCTGAGACTGAGGGTGCTGAGACTGGGGGTGTTGAGATTGGGGGTGCGGAGACAGCAGGTGCTGAGCCTGGAGGTACTGCGACTGGGGGTGTTGCGCCTAGAGGTGCTGAGGCTGGGGGCTTTGAGACTGACCGTACTGCGCCTACTGGCGCTCCTTCTTCACAGCAGCTGCGTGAGTGGTACTCCCAGCGTTACAGCCTCCGTCGTGGGGCTATTGGAGCTGGGGGGTCTACTGGAGTTGGGACTAGTGGTCCTGCGGGTGCCGTGTCGCAGCCGGAGCCTCCCTCCCCTCAGCGGCTGCGTGAGTGGTACGCTCGGCGCTGCATCCTCCGGAGTGGAGCTCCCGGTGTTGAGGTGCAGCCCGCTGGAGACCCTACTGCTGTTGGAGGTCCTGGAGCTCCTGCTGGTGCTGCTGGTGCTGCTGGTGCTGTTGGAGGTACTGGAGCTGCTGGAGGTACTCCTAGAGGTGCTGGAGGTGCAGGTGGAGCTGCTGGAGGTACTGGAGCTGCTGGAGGTACTGCTGGAGGTGCTGGAGGTGCTGCTGGAGCTGCTGGAGGTTCTGCTGGAGCTGCTGGAGGTTCTGGTGCTGTCTCTGCTGCTGCTGGGGGCACTTCACGGCTACGGCCGTACTTCGTTCCGCTCCTTCAGCAGGTTCTTGGTCAGCCGCCTCCTCCTAGTCCTCCTCCCTCCGTAGAGTGTCCTCCGCCTGTCCAGTCACAGTCACAGCTACCGCCTGCCTCGCCGCTTCCTGGTCCTTCTCCCTACACTGGTCCGACAGGCGAGCTTACAGAGCGTCGTGAGCCTGAGTCTCGTCCAGTGTCACCTGTGTCCCTTCCTGTGTCACCTTTTCGTACTGCTTGCGCTAGTGGCCGTGTACCACGTGTGCGTCCGCCATCTGTCCCTGGCACACACCGGATGTCACTGCGTCCCTCCACAGCTCCACAGCGTGTCCCTCTGCCGTCTCCTCCTCCATCCTCTCTTCCTACCCTTGCTGACCCAGAGTCTGACTCCGTTCGTGCTGCCAGTCCTACTGTCACGCGTCTCCTGGCCAGTGCTGTCACTAACCCTCCTTTTGAGTTGGCTGCTGCGTCTGCCCTCGTTGCTGAGCTTGTCGACTTTGCTGCTCGCTGTCGTCTAGACTATTCTGCCAGTCTTGTTGCTGAGTCTGAGTCTGTCTTTCCTCCGTCCGTCGGGGGTGAGTGTGCTCTTAGCACGGACGTCCTTGAGGACAGACGCAAGGACCTTGAGTGTCTTGCATCCGCTGCGCCCCATCTCGTGTCCATGCTGATTGCCCCTGAGGGAGACCCGGATGCACCAGACATCCCGACTCCTCGATCGTACGCTGAGGCGATCGAGGGTCCCTACTCCTCATAGTGGCAGTCAGCCATGGACGCAGAGATGGCTTCCTGGAAGTCCACAGGCACCTACGTCGACGAGGTTCCCCCACCTGGGGCGAACATCGTCAATGGCATGTGGATTTTCAGGGTGAAGCGGCCGCCGGGTTCTCCGCTTGTCTTCAAGGCTCGTTACGTTGCTCGAGGCTTCAGTCAGCGAGAGCGAGTAGACTTCTTTCAGACCTTCTCCCCCACCCCGAAGATGACCACTCTTCGGGTACTACTGCACGTTGCTGCTCAGCGTGACTACGAGCTGCACTCTCTTGACTTCAGCACAGCTTTCTTGCAGGGCAGTCTGCACGAGGAGATCTGGATGCGCCGCCCTCCTGGCTTCACTGGGTCGTTTCCTGCAGGTACCCAGTGGAGCCTCCGGCGGCCGACCTACGGTCTCCGCCAGACGCCACGTGAGTGGCACGACACACTGAGGACTACTCTTGCGGCACTTGGGTTCTCTCCTTCTACTGCTGACCCTTCGCTGTTTCTGCGCACCGACACTTTGCTGCGGCCGATCTACATCCTCGTGTACGTCGACGACTTGGTCTTTGCCACTGCTGACACTGAGTCTCTTGCCCACGTGAAGTCGGAGCAGCAGAAGAGACACACGTGCAAAGACCTGGGTGAACTGCGCAGCTACCTTGGCTTGCAGATCACCCGGGACAGAGCACGCCGCACCATTACCCTGACTCAGTCACACATGGTGCAGCAGGTCCTTCAGCGCTTCGGCTTCACCTGGTCCTCAGCACAGGCCACTCCTCTGGCTGTAGGTCACTCGCTCTCAGCTCTGCCTTCGGATGAGTCCGTAGAGTCGAGTGGTCCTTACCCAGAGCTAGTTGGTTGCCTCATGTACCTGATGACTTGCACTCGTCCTGACCTAGCATACCCTCTTGGCCTTCTGGCCCGCTACGAAGCTCCTGGCAGGCACCGAAAGGTGCACTGGGATGCTGCAAAGAGGGTATTGCGCTACTTCTACAGTACATCGGGCATGGGGCTCGTGCTTGGAGGAAGGAGCTCAGTTGTTCTCACTGGGCACTCAGACGCTTCTTGGGTTGACGACCAGGCTACTCAGCGGTCGTCACAGGGTTACACCTTCAGCCTTGATTCTGGCTCAGTTTCGTGGCGCTCTACGCGTTCGTCTTTAGTTCTCAGCTCCAGTTGTGAGGCTGAGATCTACGCCACAGCCATGGCTGCACAGGAGTTACGATGGCTCACCTACCTGCTGATCGACCTTGGAGAGAGGCCTAGTTCTCCTCCAGTGCTGTACGTCGACAACAAGGCTGCCATTGCCTTGTGTGAGGAGCACAGACTAGAGAACAGAACGAAGCACATCCCTCTCCTTTACTTCCTTGCTCGAGAGCTGCAGCAGCGTGGTCAGCTTCGTCTGCGTTACGTGGCCTCTCAGGCCAACACCGCTGATATATTCACCAAGGCATTTCAGCCTGGTGATCATCACCGCTTCTGTACTTTGCTGGGGCTGGTGCCCACTTATGGGGCGGGGTGATAGAAGGAGGGAGAATAGGGCGGGGCACTAGATGGCGGAAGAATGGGGCGGGGTGATGGAAAGCGGGAGAATGGGGCGGGGTGATGGAAAGCGGGATAATGGGTCGGGGTGATGGAAGGAGGGAGAATGGGGCGGGGAGATCGAAAGCGGGAGAAAGGGGCGAGGTGATGGAAAGCGGGAGAATTGGGCGGGGTGATGGAAAGCGGGAGAATGGGGCAGGGTGATGGAAGGCGGGAGAACGGGGTGGGGTGATGGAAAGCGGGAGAATGGGGCAGGGTGATGGAAAGCGGGAGAATGGGGTGGGGTGATGGAAAGCAGGAGAATGGGCAGGGTGATAGAAAGCGGGAGAATGGGGCGGGGTGATAGAAGGAGGGAGAATGGGGCAGGGCACTGGATAGCGGTAGTATGGGGCGGGGTGATGGAAAGCGGGAGAATGGGGCGGGGTGATGGAAAGCGGGAGAATGGGACGGGGTGAGGAAAAGCGGTTGAATGGGGCGGGTTGATGGAAGGAGAGAGAATGGGGCGGGGTGATGGAAGGAGTGAGAATGGGGTGGTGCGATGGAAAGCGGGAGAATGGGCGGGGTGATAGAAAGCGGGAGAATGGGGCGGGATGATGGAAGGAGGGAGAGTGGGGCGAGGTGATGGAAAGCGGGAGAATGGGGCGGGGTGATGGAAAGCGGGAGAATTGGGTGGGGTGGTAGAAGGAGGGAGAATGGGGCGGGTTGACGGAAAGCAGGAGAAAGGGCGGGGTGATGGAAAGCGGGAGAATGGGGCGGGGTGATAGAAGGAGGGAGAATTAGGCGGGGCACTAGATGGCGGGAGAAAGGGGCGGGGTGATGGAAAGCGGGAGAATGGGGCGGGGTGATGGAAAGCGAGAGAATGGGGCGGGGTGATGGAAAGCGGTTGAATGGGGCGGGGTGATGGAAGGAGGGAGAATGGGGCGGGGTGATGGAAGGAGTGATAATGGGGTGGGGCGATGGAAAGCGGGAAAATGGGGCGGGGTGATGGAAAGTGGATAATTGGGGCAGGGTGATGGAAAGTAGGAGAATAGTGCAGGATGATGGATAGCGGGAAAATGGGGCGGGGTGATGGAAAACGGGAGAATGAAGTGGGGTGATGGAAAGCGGGAGAATTGGGTGGGGTGATGGATAGCGGGAGAATGGGGCGGGGTGATGGAAAGGGGGAGAATGGGACGGGGTGATGGAAAGCGGTTGAATGGGGCGGGGTGATGGAAGGAGGGAGAATGGGGCGGGGTGATGGAAGGAGTGAGAATGGGGTGGTGCGATGGAAAGCGGGAGAACGGGCGGGGTGATGGTAAGCAGGAGAATGGGGCGGGGTGATGGAAGGAGGGAGAATGGGGCGGGGTGATGGAAAGCTGGATAATGGGGCGGGTTGATGGAAAGCGGGAGAATTGGGTGGGGTGATGGAAAGCGGGAGAATGGGGCGGGGTGATCGAAAGCGGGAGAATGCGGCGGGGTGATGGAAAGCGGGAGAATGGGGTGGGGTGATGGAAAGCGGGAGAAAGGGGCGGGGTTATGGAAAGCGGGAGAATGGGGCTGGGTGATGGAAGGAGGGAGAATGGGGCGGGGTGATGGAAGCAGGGAGAATGGGGGAGGGGTGATGGAAAGTGGGAGAATGGGGCGGGGTGATGGAAAGCGGGAGAATGAAGTGGGGTGATGGAATGCGGGAGAATGGGGCGGGGTGATGGAAGGAGGGAGAATGGGGCGGGGTGATGGAAGGAGGGAGAATGGGGCGGGGTGATGGAAAGCGGGAGAATGGGGCGGGGTGATGGAAATCGGGAGAACGGGGCGGGGTGATGGAAGGCGGGAGAATGGGGCGGGGTGATGGAAAACGGGAGAATGAAGTGGGGTGATGGAATGCGGGAGAATGGGGCGGGGTGATGGAAGGAGGGAGAATGGGGCGGGGTGATGGAAGGAGGGAGAATGGGGCGGGGTGATGGAAAGCGGGAGAATGGGGCGGGGTGATGGAAATCGGGAGAACGGGGCGGGGTGATGGAAGGCGGGAGAATGGGGCGGGGTGATGGAAAGTGGGAGAATGGTGCGGAGTGATGGAAAGCGGGAGAATGGGGCGGGCGATGGAAAGCGGGAGAATGGGGCAGGGTGATGGAAAGCGGGAGAATGGGGCGGGGTGATGGAAAGCGGGAGAATGGGACGGGGTGATGGAAAGCGGGAGAATGGGGCGGGGTGATGGAAAGCAAGAGAATGGGGCGGGTGATGGAAAGCGGTTGAATGGGGCGGGGTGATGGAAGGAGGGAGTATGGGGCAGGGTGATCGAAGGAGTGATAATGGGGTGGGGCGATGGAAAGCGGGAGAATGGGGCGGGGTGATGGAAAGCGGATGAATGGGACAGGGTGATGGAAAGCGGGAGAATAGTGCGGGATGATGGATAGCGGGAAAATGGGGCGGGGTGATGGAAAACGGGAGAATGAAGAGGGGTGATGGAAAGCGGGAGAATGGGACGGGGTGATGGAAAGCGGGAGAATGGGGCGGGGTGATGGAATGCAGGAGAATGGGGCGGGGTGATGGAAGGAGGGAGAATGGGGCGGGGTGATGGAAAGCGGGAGAAAGGGGCGGGGTGATGGAAATCGGGAGAACGGGGCGGCGTGATGGAAAGCGGGAGAATGGGGCGGAGTGATGGAAAGCGGGAGAATGGGGCGGGTGATGGAAAGCGAAAGAATGGGGTGGGGTGATGAAAAGCAGGAGAATGGGGCGGGGTGATGGAAGGAGGGAGAATGGGGCGGAGTGATGGAAGGAGGGAGAATGGGGCGGGGTGATGGAAAGCGGGAGAATTGGGCGGGGTGATGGAAAGCGGGAGAATGGGGTGGGGTGATGGAAGGCGGGAGAAAGGGGCGGGGTGATGGAAGGAGGGAGAATGGGGCGGGGTGATGGAAAGCGGGAGAATAGGGCGGGGTGATGAAAAGCGGGAGAATGGGGCGGGGTGATGGAAAGCGGGAGAATGGGGCGGGGTGATGGAAAGCGGGAGAATGGGACGGGGTGCTGCAAAGCGGCAGAATGGGGCGGGGTGTTGGAAAGCGGGAGAATGGGGCGGGGTGATGGAAAGCAGGAGAATGGGGCGGGATGATGGAAAGCGGGAGAATGGGGCGGGTTGATGGAAAGCGGGAGAATCGGGCGGGGTGATGTAAAGCGGGAGAATAGGGCGGGGTGATGAAAAGAGGTTGAATGGGGCGGGGTAATGGAAATCGGGAGAATGGGGCGACTTGATGGAAAGAGGGAGAATGGGGCGGGGTGATGGAAAGCGGGAGAATGAGGTGGGGTGATGGAAAGCGGGAGGATGGGGTGGGGTGATGGAAAGCGGGAGAATGGGGCGGGGTGATGGAAGGAGGGAGAATGGGGCGGGGTGAAGGAAGGAGGGAGAATGGGGCGGGATGATGGAAAGCGGGAGAATGGGGCGGGGTGATGGAAAGCGGGAGAATGGGGCGGGGTGATGGAAAGCGGGACAATGGGGCAGGGTGATGGAAAGCGGGAGATTGGGGCAGGGCGATGGAAAGCAGGAGAATGGGGTGGGGTGATGGAAAGCAGGAGAATGGGGCGCGGTGATGGAAAGCGGGAGAATTGGGGGGGGGGGGGGGTGATGGAAGGAGGCAGAATGGAACGGGGTGATGGAAAGCGGGAGAATGGGGCGGGGTAATGGAAAGCGGGAAAATGGGGCGGGGTGATGGAAAGCCGGAGTATGGGGCGGGGTGATGGAAAGCGGGAGAATGGGGCGGGTTGATGAAAAGCGGGAGATAGGGGCAGGGTGATGGAAAACGGGAGAATGAAGTGGGGTGATGGAAAGCGGGAGAATGGGGCGGGGTGATGGAAAGCGGGAGAATGGGGCGGGGTGATGGAATGCAGGAGAATGGGGCGGGGTGATGGAAGGAGGGAGAATGGGGCCGGGTGATGGAAAGCGGGAGAATGGGGCGGGGTGATGGAAATCGGGAGAACGGGGCGGGGTGATGGAAAGCGGGAGAATGGGGCGGAGTGATGGAAGGCGGGAGAAAGGGGCGGGCGATGGAAAGCGGGAGAATGGGGTGGGGTGATGAAAAGCAGGAGAATGGGGCGGGGTGATGGAAGGAGGGAGAATGGGGCGGAGTGATGGAAGGAGGGAGAATGGGGCGGGGTGATGGAAAGCGGGAGAATTGGGCGGGTGATGGAAAGCGGGAGAATGGGGCGGGGTGATGGAAGGCGGGAGAAAGGGGCGGGGTGATGGAAGGAGGGAGAATGGGGCGGGGTGATGGAAAGCGGGAGAATAGGGCGGGGTGATGAAAAGCGGGAGAATGGGGCGGGGTGATGGAAAGCGGGAGAATGGGGCGGGGTGATGGAAAGCGGGAGAATGGGACGGGGTGCTGGAAAGCGGGAGAATGGGGCGGGGTGCTGGAAAGCGGGAGAACGGTGCGGGGCGATGGAAAGCAGGAGAATGGGGCGGGATTATGGAAAGCGGGAGAATATGGCGGGTTGATGGAAAGCGGGAGAATCGGGCGGGGTGATGTAAAGCGGGAGAATAGGGCGGGGTGATGAAAAGAGGGAGAATGGGGCAGGGTAATGGAAATCGGGAGAATGGGGCGACGTGATGGAAAGAGGGAGAATGGGGCGGGGTGATGGAAAGCGGGAGAATGGGGTTGGGTGATGGAAAGCGGGAGGATAGGGTGGGGTGATGGAAAGCGGGAGAATGGGGCAGGGTGATGGAAGGAGGGAGAATGGGGCGGGGTGAAGGAAGGAGGGAGAATGGGGCGGGGTGATGGAAAGCGGGAGAATGGGGCGGGGTGATGGAAAGCGAGAGAATGGGGCGGGGTGATGGAAAGCGGGACAATGGGGCAGGGTGATGGAAAGCGGGAGATTGGGGCGCGGCGATGGAAAGCAGGAGAATGGGGTGGGGTGATGGAAAGCGGGAGAATGGGGCGGGGTGATGGAAAGCGGGAGAATTGGGGGGGGGGTGATGGAAGGAGGGAGAATGGAACGGGGTGATGGAAAGCGGGAGAATGGGGCGGAATGATGGAAAGCGGGAGAATGGGGCGAGGTAATGGAAAGCGGGAAAATGGGGCGGGGTGATGGAAAGCCGGAGTATGGGGCGGGGTGATGGAAAGCGGGAGAATGGGGCGGGGTGATGAAAAGCGGGAGATAGGGGCGGGGTGATGGAAGGAGGGAGAATGGGGCGGGGTGATGTAAGGAGGGAGAATGGGGTGGGGTGATGGAAAGCGGGAGAATGGGGCGGGATGATGGAAAGCGAGAATGGGGCAGGGCGATGGAAAGCGGGAGAATGGGGCGGGGTGATGGAAAGCGGGAGAATGGGGCGGGGTGATGGAATGCAGGAAAATGGGGCGGGGTGATGGAAAGCGGGACAATGGGGCGGGGTGCTGGAAATTGGGAGAACGGGGCGGGGTGATGGAAGGCGGGAGAATGGGGCGGGGTGATGGAAAGCGGGAGAATGGGACGGAGTGATGGAAGGAGGGAGAATGGGGCGGGGTGATGGAAGGAGGGAGAATGGGGCGGGGTGATGGAAAGCGGGAGAATGGGGCGGTGTGATGGAAAGCGGGAGAATGGGGCGGGGTGATGGAAAGCGGGAGAATGGGGCGGGGTGATGGAAAGCAAGACAATGGGGCAGGGTGATGGAAAGCGGGAGATTGGGGCGGGGCGATGGAAAGCGGGAGAATGGGGTGGGGTGATGGAAAGCGGGAGATTGGGGCGGGGCGATGGAAAGCGGGAGAATGGGGTGGGGTGATGGAAAGCGGGAGAATGGGGCGGGGTGATGGAAAGCGGGAGAATGGGGCGGGGTGATGGAAAGCGGGAGATTGGGACGGGGTGCTGGAAAGCGGGAGAATGGGGCGGGGTGCTGGAAAGCGGGAGAACGGGGCGGGGTGATGGAAAGCGGGAGAATGGGGCGGGATGATGGAAAGCGGGAGAATGGGGCGGGTTGATGGAAAGAGGGAGAATAGGGCGAGGTGATGTAAAGCGGGAGAATAGGGCGGGGTGATGAAAAGAGGGAGAATGGGGCGGGGTAATGGAAATCGGGAGAATGGGGCGACGTGATGGAAAGCGGGAGAATGGGGTGGGGTGATGGAAAGCAGGAGGATGGGGTGGGGTGATGGAAAGCGGGAGAATGGGGCGGGGTGATGGAAGGAGGGAGAATGGGGCGGGGTGATGGAAGGAGGGAGAATGGGGCGGGGTGATGGAAAGCGGGAGAATGGGGCGGTGTGATGGAAAGCGGGAGAATGGGGCGGGGTGATGGAAAGCGGGAGAATGGGGCGGGGTGATGGAAAGCAAGACAATGGGGCAGGGTGATGGAAAGCGGGAGATTGGGGCGGGGCGATGGAAAGCGGGAGAATGGGGTGGGGTGATGGAAAGCGGGAGAATGGGGCGGGGTGATGGAAAGCGGGAGAGTTGGGGGGAGTGATGGAAGAAGGGAGAATGGAACGGGGTGATGGAAAGCGGGAGAATGGGGCGGAATGATGGAAAGCGGGAGAATGGGGCGGGGTAATGGAAAGCGGGAAAATGGGGCGGGGTGATGGAAAGCCGGAGTATGGGGCGGGGTGATGGAAAGCGGGAGAATGGGGCGGGGTGATGAGAAGCGGGAGATAGGGGCGGGGTGATGGAAGGAGGGAGAATGGGGCGGGGTGATGGAAGGAGGGAGAATGGGGCGGGGTGATGGAAAGCGGGAGAATGGGGCGGGATGATGGAAAGCGGGAGAATGGGGCGGGGTGATGGAATGCAGGAGAATGGGGCGAGGTGATGGAAGGAGGGAGAATGGGGCGGGGTGATGGAAAGCGGGAGAATGGGGCGGGGTGATGGAATGCAGGAGAATGGGGCGAGGTGATGGAAGGAGGGAGAATGGGGCGGGGTGATGGAAAGCGGGAGAATGGGGCGGGGTGCTGGAAATCGGGAGAACGGGGCGGGGTGATGGAAGCCGGGAGAATGGGGCGGGGTGATGGAAAGCGGCAGAATGGGGCGGAGTGATGGAAAGCGGGAGAATGGGGCGGGCGATGGGAAGCGGGAGAATGGGGTGGGGTGATGAAAAGCAGGAGAATGGGGCGGGGTGATGGAAGGAGGGAGAATGGGGCAGAGTGATGGAAGGAGGGAGAATGGGGCGGGGTGATGGAAAGCGGGAGAATTGGGCAGGGTGATGGAAAGCGGGAGAATGGGGCGGGGTGATGGAAGGCGGGAGAAAGGGGCGGGGTGATGGAAGGAGGGAGAATGGGGCGGGGTGATGGAAAGCAGGAGAATTGGGCGGGGTGATGGAAAGCGGGAGAATGGGGCGGGGTGATGGAAGGCGGGAGAAAGGGGCGGGGTGATGGAAGGAGGGAGAATGGGGCGGGGTGATGAAAAGCGGGAGAATGGGGCGGGGTGATGGAAAGCGGGAGAATGGGGCGGGGTGATGGAAAGCGGGAGAATGGGGCGGGGTGCTAAAAAGCGGGAGAACGGGGCGGGGTGATGGAAAGCGGGAGAATGGGGCGGGATGATGGAAAGCAGGAGAATGGGGCGGGTTGATGGAAAGAGGGAGAATAGGGCGGGGTGATGTAAAGCGGGAGAATAGGGCGGGGTGATGAAAAGAGGGAGAGTGAGGCGGGGTGATGAAAAGAGGGAGAATGGGGCGACGTGATGGAAAGCGGGAGAATGGGGTGGGGTGATGGAAAGCGGGAGGATGGGGTGGGGTGATGGAAAGCGGGATAATGGGGCGGGGTGATGGAAGGAGGGAGAATGGGGCGGGGTGATGGAAGGAGGGAGAACGGGGCGGGGTGATGGAAAGCGGGAGAAAGGGGCGGTGTGATGGAAAGCGGGAGAATGGGGCGGGGTGATGGAAAGCGGGAGAATGGGGCGGGGTGATGGAAAGCGAGACAATGGGGCAGGGTGATGGAAAGCGGGAGATTGGGGCGGGGCGATGGAAAGCGGGAAAATGGGGTGGGGTGATGGAAAGCAGGAGAATGGGACGGGATGATGGAAAGCGAGAATGGGGCAGGGCGATGGAAAGCGGGAGAATGGGGCGGGGTGATGGAAAGCGGGAGAATGAGGCTGGTTGATGGAAAGCGGGAGAATGGGGCGGGGTGCAGGAAAGCGGGAGAATCGGACAGGGTGCTGGAAAGCGGGAGAATGGGGCGGGGTCATGGAAAGCGGGAGAATGAGGCAAGGTGATAGAAAGTGGGAGAATGGGGCGGGGTGATGGAAAGCGGGAGAATGTGGCGGGGTGATAGAAAGCGGGAGAATGGGGCCGCGTGATGGAAAGAGGGAGAACGGGGAGGGGTGATGGCAAGCAGGAGAATGGGACAGGGTGATGGAAAGCGGGAGAATGGGGTGGGGTGATGGAAAGCGAAGGATGGGGTGGGGTGATGGAAAGCGGGAGAATGGGGCGGGGTGATGGAAGGAGGGAGAATGGGGAGGGGTGATGGAAGGAGGGAGAATGGGGCGGGGTGATGGAAAGCGGGAGAATGGGGCGGTGTGATGGAAAGCGGGAAGGCGGGGTGATGGAAAGCGGGAGAATGGGGCGGGGTGATGGAAAGCGAGACTATGGGGCAGGGTGATGGAAAGCGGGAGATTGGGGCGGGGCGATGGAAAGCGGGAGAATGGGGTGGGGTGATGGAAAGCGGGAGAATGGGACGGGATGATGGAAAGCGAGAATGGGGCAGGGCGATGGAAAGCGGGAGAATGGGGCGGGGTGATGGAAAGCGGGAGAATGTGGCGGGTTGATGGAAAGCGGGAGAATGGGGCGGGGTGCTGGAAAGCGGGAGAATGGGACAGGGTGCTGGAAAGCGGGAGAATGGGGCGGGGTGATGGAAAGCGGGAGAATGAGGCGAGGTGATGGAAAGTGGGAGAATGGGGCGGGGTGATGGAAAGCAGGAGAATGTGGCGGGGTGATAGAAAGCGGGAGAATGGGGCGGCGTGATGGAAAGAGGGAGAACGGGGAGGGGTGATGGCAAGCAGGAGAATGGGACAGGGTGATGGAAAGCGGGAGAATGGGGCGGGGTGATGGAAGGAGGGAGAATGGGGCGGGGTGATTGAAGGAGGGAGAATAGGGCGGGGTGATGGAAAGCGGAAGAATGGGGCGGGGTGATGGAAAGCGGGAGAATGGGGTGGGGTGATGGAAAGCGGGAGAATGGGCAGGGTGATGGAAAGCGGGAGAATGGGGCGGGGTGATAGAAGGAAGGAGAATGGGGCGGGGCACTAGATGGCGGAAGAATGGGGCGGGGTGATGGAAAGCGGGAGAATGGGGCGGGGTGATGGAAAGCGGGAGAATGGGTCGGGGTGATGGAAGGAGGGAGAATGGGGCGGGGAGATGGAAAGCGGGAGAATGGGGCGGGGTGATGGAAAGCGGGAGAATTGGGCGGAGTGACGGAAAGCGGGAGAATAGGGCAGGGTGATGGAAGGCGGGAGAATGGGGTGGGGTGATGGAAAGCGGGAGAATGGGGCGGGGTGATGGAAAGCAGGAGAATGGGGCAGGGTGATGGAAAGCGGGAGAATGGGGTGGGGTGATGGAAAGCAGGAGAATGGGCGGGGTGTTGGAAAGCGGGAGAATGGGGCGGGATGATAGAAGGAGGGAGAATGGGGCGGGGCACTGGATAGCGGTAGTATGGGGCGGGGTGATGGAAAGCGGGAGAATGGGGCGGGGTGATGGAAAGAGGGAGAATGGGGCGGGGTGATAGAAGGAGGGAGAATGGGGCGGGGCACTAGATGGCGGAAGAATGGGGCGGGGTGTTGGAAAGCGGGAGAATGGGTCGGGGTGATGGAAAGCTGGAGAATGGGTCGGGGTGTTGGAAGGAGGGAGAATGGGGCGGGGAGATGGAAAGCGGGAGAATGAGGCGGGGTGATGGAAAGCGGGAGAATTGGGCGGGGTGATGGAATGCGGGAGAATGGGGCAGGGTGATGGAAGGCGGGAGAATGGGGTGGGTTGATGGAAAGCGGGAGAATGGGGCGGGGTGATGGAAAGCAGGAGAATGGGGCAGGGTGATGGAAAGCGGGAGAATGGGGTGGGGTGATGGAAAGCGGGAGAATGGGGCGGGGTGATAGAAGGAGGGGGAATGGGGCAGGGCACGGGATAGCGGTAGTATGGGGCGGGGTGATGGAAAGCGGGAGAATGAGGCGGGGTGATGGAAAGCGGGAGAATGGGACGGGGTGATGGAAAGCGGTTGAATGGGGCGGGGTGATGGAAGGAGGGAGAATGGGGCGGAGTGATGGAAGGAGTGAGAATGGGGTGGTGCGATGGAAAGCGGGAGAATGGGCGGGGTGATGGAAAGCGGGAGAATGGGGCGGGTTGAAGGAAGGAGGGAGAATGGGATGCTGTGATGGAAAGCGGGAGAATGGGGCGGGGTGATGGAAAGCGGGAGAATTGGGTGGGGTGACTGAAAGCGGGAGAATGGGGAGGGGTGATGGAAAGCGGGAGAATGCGGCGGGGTGATGGAAACCGGGAGAATGGGGTGGGGTGATGGAAAGCGGGAGAATGGGGCGGGGTGATGGAAAGAGGGAGAATGGGGCGGGGTGATGGAAGCAGGGAGAATGGGGGAGGGGTGATGGAAAGCGGGAGAATGGGGCGGGGTGATGGAAAGTGGGAGAATGGGGCGGGGTGATGGAAAGCGGGAGAATCGGGCGGGGTGATGGAAAGCGGGAGAATGGGGCGGGTTGATGGAAAGCAGGAGAATGGGCGGGGTGATGAAAAGCGGGAGATTGGGGCGGGGTGATAGAAGGAGGGAGAATGGGGCGGGGCACTAGATGGCGGGAGAATGGGGCGGGGTGATGGAAAGCGGGAGAATGGGGCGGGGTGATGGAAAGTGAGAGAATGGGGCGGGGTGATGGAAAACGGTTGAATGGGGCGGGATGATGGAAGGAGGGAGAATGGGGCGGGGTGATGGAAGGAGTGATAATGGGGTGGGGCGATGGAAAGCGGGAGAATGGGGCGGGGTGATGGAAAGCGGATGAATGGGGCAGGGTGATGGAAAGCGGGAGAATAGTGCGGGATGATGGATAGCGGGAAAATGGGGTGGGGTGATGGAAAACGGGAGAATAAAGTGGGGTGATGGAAAGCGGGAGAATGGGGCGGGGTGATGGAAAGCGGGAGAATGGGTCGGGGTGATGGAATGCGGGAGAAGGGGGCGGGGTGATGGAAGGAGGGAGAATGGGATTGGAGTCAGTGGTCATGCAAGCACGGGTGGGAGGGTGGGTGGGAGCTCAATTGCATTACACCATACATGTGGAGAAGGGCACACGCACACGCCCTCTGCTTCCTGCTTAGCCTCTGCCCTCCGTCACATGCTCCCCACCCACCCAGTCCACTAGGTTAGGTCTTCTACTTCAACAACACTAGGTTATAACCTTTCCAATCCACATTGTTTGGGAGATTTCATAGTTCCAGCTCCGCCTTGTACCTACACACAAGCGTGCAAACTGACTTTACAGGCCGACGCATTATTTTCTCTGTACAAATACAACAAATATCATATGTATTCCCATTTCATTTAAATTTATACCATTCCCTACCTCCCTACCATGTTTTAACCTATCAGATCTATGTAATTTTGCAGATATAGACATTCCAGTCGTACATGGTACCTGCACTACAAGCGCGCATACCGACCAAAATGACCAGCGCATTACTTATGTTTCTAGAAATGCAGTTAGTACCATATATTTGCCAATCCACTAGACTAGGCCTTCTACTTCAACAACACTAGGTTATAACCTTTCCGATCCACATCATTTGGGAGATTTCAGAGTTCCAGTTCCGCCTTGTACCTACAAACAAGAGTGCATAATGACCTTACCAGCCGACGCATTATTCTCTCTGTACAAATACGGTGAATACTATATGTATACCCATTTCTTTTAAATTATACTAATCTCCACCCCCCTACCATGTTTTAACCTATCAGATGTATGTAATTTGACAGATATAGACATTCCAGACGTACATGGTACCTGCACAACAGGCGCGCATAACGACAAAACAGACCAGCGCATTACTTATGATTGTAGAGAGGCAGTTAGTACCATATTCTTGTCAGTCCACTATATTAGGCCTTCTACTTCATTAAAACTAGGTTATAACATTTCCGATCCACATAATTTGGGAGCTTTCAGAGTTCCAGTTCCGCCTTGTACCTACACACAAGCGTGCATGCTGACCGTACCGGCTGACGCATTTTTCTTTCTGTACAAATACAGTGAATACCATATGTATTCACATTTCCATTAAATTATACCATTCCCCACCCCCCTACCATGTTTAAACATATCGGGTCTATGAAATTTGGCAGGGTATGGGGGCATGAGGGCATGAGGGTTTATGTTTTAACCTATCTCTAACCTCACGCCCTCATGCCCTCATGCCCTCATGCCCTCACGCCCTCATGCCCTCATGCCCTCATGCCCTCATGCCCTCATGCCCTCACGCCCTCATGCCCTCATGCCCTCATGCCCTCACGCCCTTATGCCCTCACGCCCTCATGCCCTCATGCCCTCATGCCCTCATGCCCTCATGCCCTCACGCCCTCATGCCCTCATGCCCTCATGCCCTCATCCCCTCATGGCCTCATGCCCTCATGCCCTCATGCCCTCATGCCCTCACGCCCTCACGCCCTCACGCCCTCATGCCCTCATCCCCTCATGCCTTCATGCCCTCATGCCCTCATGCCCTCATGCCCTCACACCCTCATGCCCTCATGCCCTCATGCCCTCATACCCTCATGCCCTCATCCCCTCATGCCCTCACGCCCTCATGCCCTCATGCCCTCATGCCCTCATCCCCTCATGGCCTCATGCTCTCATGCCCTCATGCCCTCATGCCCTCACGCCCTCACGCCCTCACGCCCTCATGCCCTCATCCCCTCATGCCTTCATGCCCTCATGTCCTCATGCCCTCATGCCCTCACACCCTCATGCCCTCATGCCCTCATGCACTCATACCCTCATGCCCTCATCCCCTCATGCCCTCACGCCCTCATGCCCTCATGCCCTCATGCCCTCATGCTCTCATGCCCTCACGCCCTCATGCCCTCACGCCCTCATGCCCTCATGCCCTCACGCCCTCATTCCATCACGGCCTCATCCCCTCATGCCCTCACGCCCTCATGGCCTCATGCCCTCATCCCCTCATGCCCTCACGCCCTTATGCCCTCATGCCCTCATGCCCTCATGCCCTCACGCCCTCATGCCCTCATGCCCTCACGCCCTCATTCCATCACGCCCTCATGCCCTCATGCCCTCACGCCATCACGCCCTCATTCCCTCATGCCCTCAGCCCCTCATGCCCTCATGCCCTCATGAACTCATGCCCTCATGCCCTCACGCCCTCATGCCCTCATGCCCTCATGCACTCATGCCCTCATGCCCTCACGCCCTCATGCCCTCATGCCCTCATGCCCTCATGCCTTCACGCCCTCATGCCCTCATCCCCTCATGCCCTAATCCCCTCATGCCCTAACGCCCTCATGCCCTCACGCCCTCATGCCCTCATCCCCTCATGCCCTCACGCCCTCATGCCCTCATGCCCTCATGCCCTCATGCCCTCATCCCCTCATGCCCTCATGCCCTCACGCCCTCATTCCATCACGCCCTCATGCCCTAATGCCCTCACGCCATCACGCCATCATTCCCTCATGCCCTCAGCCCCTCATGCCCTCATGCCCTCATGATCTCATGCCCTCATGCCCTCACGCCCTCATGCCCTCATGCCCTCATGCACTCATGCCCTCATGCCCTCACGCCCTCATGCCCTCATGCCCTCATGCCCTCATGCCCTCATGCCTTCACGCCCTCACGCCCTCATGCCCTCATCCCCTCATGCCCTAATGCCCTCATGCCCTCATGCCCTCATGCCCTCATGCCCTCATGGCCTCATGCCCTCATGCCCTCATGCCCTCATCCCCTCATCCCCTCATGGCCTCATGCCTTCATGCCCTCATGCCCTCATGCCCTCACGCCCTCACGCCCTCACGCCCTCATGCCCTCATCCCCTCATGCCTTCATGCCCTCATGCCCTCATGCCCTCATGCCCTCACAACCTCATGCCCTCATGCCCTCATGCCCTCATACCCTCATGCCCTCATCCCCTCATGCCCCCACGCCCTCATGCCCTCATGCCCTCATGCCCTCATCCCCTCATGGCCTCATGCTCTCATGCCCTCATGCCCTCATGCCCTCACGCCCTCACGCCCTCAAGCCCTCATGCCCTCATCCCCTCATGCCTTCATGCCCTCATGCCCTCACACCCTCATGCCCTCATGCCCTCATGCCCTCATACCCTCATGCCCTCATCCCCTCATGCCCTCACGCCCTCATGCCCTTATGCCCTCATGCCCTCATGCTCTCATGCCCTCACGCCCTCATGCCCTCACGCCCTCATGCCCTCATGCCCTCACGCCCTCATTCCATCACGCCCTCATCCCCTCATGCCCTCACGCCCTCATGCCCTCATGCCCTCATCCCCTCATGCCCTCACGCCCTCATGCCCTCATGCCCTCATGCCCTCATGCCCTCACGCCCTCATGCCCTCATGCCCTCACGCCCTCCTTCCATCACGCCCTCATGCCCTCATGCCCTCACGCCATCACGCCCTCATTCTCTCATGCCCTCAGCCCCTCATGCCCTCATGCCCTCATGACCTCATGCCCTCATGCCCTCACGCCCTCATGCCCTCATGCCCTCATGCACTCATGCCCTCATACCCTTACGCCCTCATGCCCTCATGCCCTCATGCCCTCATGCCCTCATGCCTTCACGCCCTCACGCCCTCATGCCCTCATCCCCTCAAGCCCTAATGCCCTCATGCCCTCATGCCCTCATGCCCTCATGCCCTCATGGCCTCATGGCCTCATGCCCTCATGCCCTCATGCCCTCACGCCCTCATGCCATCATGGCCTCATGCCCTCATGCCCTCACGCCCTCATGCCATCACGCCCTCATGCCCTCATGCCCTCATGCCATCATGCCCTTATGCCCTCATCCCCTCAAGCCCTCATGCCCTCATGCCCTCATGCCCTCATGCCCTCATGCCCTCATGCCCTCACGCACTCATGCCCTCATGCCCTCATGCCCTCATCACCTCATGCCCTCATGCCCTCATGCCCTCATGCCCTCATGCACTTAGCCCTGATGCCCTCACGCCCTCATGCCGTCATGCCCTCATGCCCTCATGCCCTCACGCCCTCATGCCCTCACTCCCTCATGCCCTCATGCCCCCATGCCCTCATGCCCTCATGCCCTCATTCCCTCATGCCCTCAGGCCCTCATGCCCTCTGCCCTCATGCCCTCACGCCCTCATTCCCTCATGCCCTCACGCCATCACGCACTGATGCCCTCATGCCCTCATCCCCTCATCCCCTCATGCCCTCATGCCGTCATGACCTCATGCCCTCATGCCCTCATGCCCTCAGGACCTCACGCCCTCATGCCCTCATGCCCTCATGCCCTCACGCCCTAATGCCCTCATGCCCTCACGCCCTCATGCCATCACGCGCTCACGCCCTCACTCCTTCATGCCCTCATGACCTCATGCCCTCATGCCCTCACGCCCTCATGCCCTCATGCCCTCATGCCCTCACACCCTCATGCCCTCATGCCCTCATGCCCTCATAGGCATGGGCTGCTCTCAAGGGTGTACACGCTCCTGCAACAGCGGCGGTAGCTGTGGTGTTGGAACGGCAAATGGCGACACTACGAATTGAAGAGGATGAAGCGGTTGAAGAAGGGGTGCAGAAATTCTTCGACTTGTTGACGCGGCTTGAGGGAGCTGATTTGAACTATGATGAGCTCCAAAAGAAGACCAAGTTGCTGGCCCTACTCCCTGAGTCATGGTCCTCGCTCATCATCAACCTTAATCGCGACTTGCCCCGCCTCTCGCTTGAAGACGTGAAGCGAGCTATCCTTCAAGAGGATTTCCGCCGCCGTGAGTTGGCGAGTGCGGATGGCGCTGGGGCAGCGAGCATCGGCCGTGGATATGGTCGAGGAAGAGGTAGAGGACGAGGGGGAGGAAGGTTTGGTGGCAGCAACTTCGGCGGAGGCCGCGGGAGTGGCGGTTACGGCAGCGACGACAAGAGCTACGGACGCGGTCGCGGCCGATTCGACGGCGAGTGTCACTATTGCCACAAGAGCGGACACATGTGGCACGACTGCTACAAACTCCCTGATGGTTGGACCCCTGC